ATAAAACCAGAAAAACGGCCAGCCTACTCATGAGAAACTCTCCAGACACAAAGCAGAACGCTTTAAAAGAGACCAACGTCGTCTATGCCTTCAAATGCCCTCTTGGGGATTGTAAGCTCCAAAAAACCCAGTATATAGGCAAGACAACAACATCTCTTTCTAGGCGTTTAACGATGCATAAGCAACAGGGCTCCATTAAGGAACATATAATCTCTTCCCACAACCAAACCATCGCCAGAGAAATCCTAGTAAACAACACAGAAATCATCGATAGATACAGCGATAGCAGACGGCTTGACGTTTGCGAGGCACTACACATTAAAAAGTCAACACCAGCAATCAACAGCCAATTAATGCACAACTATATTCTACCCACCTCAAGACTCCGCTCCAATATAGAAGCATCAAGAAATATGGACCAATAGGCTTTCTACAATCACTTCCATTCAATACCCATTGTTTCGTGTTCTGTCTTGTGTTGATGAATTTAATACCCTATTAATACCACCTCACCCCATCCACCTCACTCAAATGTAGATATAAACAAATCGGAGATGTGTAAGTTCTATTCAGTTGTGTATGTGTAAACTAAAGTCTTTGAAAATGTAATAAGTTTTACGAAACGCGCTCAAATGTCGCGTCAGACTAGAAATAAAAATGAATTTTGGAGAATTGATTTTTGAATTACCACCAACAGTGAAAAGAAATGTACGAAAGATTGAGAAAATTCGTGTTAGAATTATTAATCTTTTTCGGTCATATTTAATAATATATGTCTACAGGAAAGACAGGCTACCAAAATATACTAATATATATATATATAAGCCTATACTTGCATAAACCACAAGTGAAGATAAACAATCTTTGGACAACACCCACCAGTGGGACTCGAACCCAGAAAGCACAACTACCTTCCAGTAGCTGGCATAACTAGTATGCTTTAACCCACTACGCCATCAGACCTTACAAAAGAAGTAGATAGTTCGAGATATATATATCTCAAACATCTCTACCTCCCGAAGGCACCAGATGAGTGAGGGGTCAGTCTGCAATTTTCATCAAGCCACTGTCAATGTGAGAGAACTCGTGTCCAGCTTATAAGCCTATACTTGCATAAACCACAAGTGAAGATAAACAATCTTTGGACAACACCCACCAGTGGGACTCGAACCCAGAAAGCACAACTACCTTCCAGTAGCTGGCATAACTAGTATGCTTTAACCCACTACGCCATCAGACCTTACAAAAGAAGTAGATAGTTCGAGATATATATATCTCAAACATCTCTACCTCCCGAAGGCACCAGATGAGTGAGGGGTCAGTCTGTCCAAAGATTGTTGTCCAAAGATTGTTTATCTTCACTTGTGGTTTATGCAAGTATAGGCTTATAAGCTGGACACGAGTTCTCTCACATTGACAGTGGCTTGATGAAAATTGCAGACTGACCCCTCACTCATCTGGTGCCTTCGGGAGGTAGAGATGTTTGAGATATATATATCTCGAACTATCTACTTCTTTTGTAAGGTCTGATGGCGTAGTGGGTTAAAGCATACTAGTTATGCCAGCTACTGGAAGGTAGTTGTGCTTTCTGGGTTCGAGTCCCACTGGTGGGTGTTGTCCAAAGATTGTTTATCTTCACTTGTGGTTTATGCAAGTATAGGCTTATAAGCTGGACACGAGTTCTCTCACATTGACAGTGGCTTGATGAAAATTGCAGACTGACCCCTCACTCATCTGGTGCCTTCGGGAGGTAGAGATGTTTGAGATATATATATCTCGAACTATCTACTTCTTTTGTAAGGTCTGATGGCGTAGTGGGTTAAAGCATACTAGTTATGCCAGCTACTGGAAGGTAGTTGTGCTTTCTGGGTTCGAGTCCCACTGGTGGGTGTTGTCCAAAGATTATATATATATATATATATATATATATATATATATATATATATATATATATATATATATATATATATATATATATATGTCGTACCTAATAGCCAGAACGCACTTGTCAGCCTACTATGCAAGGCCCGATTTGCCTAATAAGCCAAGTTTTCCTGAATTAATATTTTTTCTCTAATTTTTTTCTTATGAAATGATAAATCTACCCATTTCATTATGTATGAGGTCAATTTTTTTTTATTGGAGTTTAAATTAACGTAGATATATGACCAAACCTAACCAACCCTACCTAACCTAACCTATCTTTATAAGTTAGGTTAGGTTAGGTAGCCGAAAAAGTTAGGTTAGGTTAGGTTAGGTAGGTTAGGTAGTCGAAAAACAATTAATTCATGAAAACATGGCTTATTAGTCAAATTGGGCCTTGCATAGTAGGCTGATAAGTGAGTTCTGGCTACTAGGTACGATATATATATATATATATATATATATATATATATATATATATATATATATATATATATATATATATATATATATATATATATATGCAAACAAGCCTGAATGGTCCCCAGGACTATATACAACTGAAAACTCACACCCCAGAAGTGACTCGAACCCATACTCCCACAACTGGTATGTACAGGGACGCCTTAATCCGCTTGACCATCACGACCGGACAAAAGGAAGTGATAGCCGAGGCTATATGAACCACTTCCCCGCCGGCACTCGGATGGTAATCTTGGGCATAGCATTTTATCAAATCACCTCATTCTTTGGGGCACACGTGAGGAACACAAATGCAAACAAGCCTGAATGGTCCCCAGGACTATATACAACTGAAAACTCACACCCCAGAAGTGACTCGAACCCATACTCCCACAACTGGTATGTACAGGGACGCCTTAATCCACTTGACCATCACGACCGGACAAAAGGAAGTGATAGCCGAGGCTATATGAACCACTTCCCCGCCGGCACTCGGATGGTAATCTTGGGCATAGCATTTTATCAAATCACCTCAAAGAATGAGGTGATTTGATAAAATCACCTCAAAGAATGAGGTGATTTGATAAAATGCTATGCCCAAGATTACCATCCGAGTGCCGGCGGGGAAGTGGTTCATATAGCCTCGGCTATCACTTCCTTTTGTCCGGTCGTGATGGTCAAGCGGATTAAGGCGTCCCTGTACATACCAGTTGTGGGAGTATGGGTTCGAGTCACTTCTGGGGTGTGAGTTTTCAGTTGTATATAGTCCTGGGGACCATTCAGGCTTGTTTGCATTTGTGTTCCTCACGTGTGCCCCAAAGAATGAGGTGATTTGATAAAATGCTATGCCCAAGATTACCATCCGAGTGCCGGCGGGGAAGTGGTTCATATAGCCTCGGCTATCACTTCCTTTTGTCCGGTCGTGATGGTCAAGCGGATTAAGGCGTCCCTGTACATACCAGTTGTGGGAGTATGGGTTCGAGTCACTTCTGGGGTGTGAGTTTTCAGTTATATATATATATATTTATGTCGTACTTAGTAGCCAGAACGCACTTCTCAGCCTACTATGCAAGGCCCGATTTGCCTAATAAGCCAAGTTTTCCTGAATTAATATATTTTCTCTAATTTTTTTCTTATGAAATGATAAAGCTACCCATTTCATTATGTATAATGGTAATTTTATTTTATTGGAGTTAAAATTACCGTAGATATATAACCGAACCTAACCAACCCTACCTAACCTAACCTAACCTATCTTTATAGGTTAGGTTAGGTTAGGTAGCCGAAAAAGGTAGGTTAGGTTAGGTTAGGTTGTCGAAAAACAATTAATTCATGAAAACTTGGCTTATTAGGCAAATCGGGCCTTGAATAGTAGGCTGAGAAGTGCGTTCTGGCTACTAGGTACGACATAAATATATATATATATATATATATATATATATATATATATATATATATATATATATATATATATATATATATATATCGCAACATCAGACAAGGAGAAAGCCCGCCTCAGAGCAGTGCAAGCCCCCCATGCAGGAGACTTCCTCCTGGCACACAGAAACTGTATTGGAGGGGACCTACATTCCCTCCAATGCGTTATGTGTGGTTTCCTCCGAGGCTATGGGTCCCCCTTCTTCCAGCCAGAGGTGGTACTCCCTGTATATATATATATATATATATATATATATATATATACATATATATATATATATATATATATATATATATATATATATATATATATATATATATATATATATATATATATATATATATATATATATATATATATATATATATATATATATATATATATATATATATATATATATATACTATGGTTCTCATCGTTACTATAAGTACTACCAAAACTGGAGGATGAGCTGGTAAATCATAGCGGCTCACAAACAGCCACAGTTTCAATGTGTCTGTCCATCGACTAGGTTAGGTTCGGGTAATTTAGTAAAAAAATTTTGTGACGTGAGAACTCGAGAGGACAGACTGCATAAACCTAAGGAACTACCTACCCGCTGAAGCCGTAAATGCCAAGACATTAATTACTGCAGTTCAAAATCCAATTGGAAAAAAATCTCAAGAAAAAGGGGAGGGGAAGGGGGGATGCCTTTGACAAGCCACCGGCTTCCTGATCCCGTCGTGACCACTAAATAGATGTTGGTGCTGAGGTAAATTCAAGATGGGCGCGGAGGTACGCCACCGCTCACAGGACGGTTATGCGTAATAAATGAACTGAACAAAAGCATAGAAAATGGCGAAATTAACACCATTTTTTATTTAAAATTCTTTTGAAGGTATTAATTTATCTAGTTTGTTATGAGTCATGGACCTGGAGACGTGGGAATACCGAGTAAATAACTAGTAAACCTGTGGCAATGTGTCCCAAGCTGCCATAATGTCTATACGTTCCTAATATATATATATATATATTAATTTTCGTTTCGTTTTACAATATACCCAAATTACAGAAGAACATTTAGTTCACTTCTACAATATTTTAGTAATGATGAACATTAAAATGTATGCATTTATTATGATACATACGATTCCTGGGAATAAATGTAGGAAACTGCACCGCTGTCATATATAGCACACACCAGGCCCCGTTTTCTCAGTCAACGCTCAACAGCAGAGGGAGGAAGGTTGCATCAGTCCTTCACTAATCTGTACATACAGCAGTGAAAGTTGCACGCACAGTTACGAACTGTCTGTTGTAATCATAGTGAAGCATTTTGAACTCACGATGGCACAGGTGTGTAAGACTGTTGCTTGTAATATTACTGTTAACAATATACTATGTAATATATAGGTAGATTATATGTTTATAGTACTTTTATTTATATGTCCAAGTGTAACTTCAATTTGTACAGCGTACATGGTATTAAGCGTCAAAGATGTACGCAGTGCGCAGCGTACCTTAACACACTAACAGCCTCACAAGATAGTGATGGAGATACGTCACGTCTTCTGGAATTACCTGAACCAGTGACCGTAGGGGACAGGGGTTTCCGAGGCTTATGAAACTCTGTAATTGTTGTGTTATCAATTTCCTGACATCTTTTACCTTTAGCATTGTCTTGTTGCTTATGGCTGCATGGAACAGCGCTTTCGTCTGGTAATTACTTACTGTCCTAACAAGATGGGTTCATCGAGTATTGGTTGTTCTGTATATTAGGCTAACATGGTCGTGGGATCACTTGATTGAATTTGGTTGGATAGAAGGTGCCACGTGCTAATGGACCCATACGTGGCACCTGCAAGTTCCTTAATTTTTATGTTAATATAATTATACAGTTTACTGTTGCTTGTTATGCTTGAATTAGCTGTTGCCTGATGTATCACGTTAGCATTCTATATAGAGGCGTAACCCGCTACTCATTGTATTTAAAATGGTAGCTTGACCTTAACTAGAACTAATGCATACGAGTTGGTTGGTTAGTAAGCCTATGACCCGGTCTTAATAATTTACCCTCCTGTGGTTGATAGGCCTAATGCACAACGCGCATACCAAACCAATCAGTCATGTTAGTTATGTCTTGAAGTGTTAGTTTAGTTCATTTATTATGCACCCCATACCCATCTTGTGGGCGGTAGTGGAAAGGGTTACAGAAGCACATAATGGGCTCAGGGACTGAACCCCACAATTCATTTAGCTAAGCAAGTTACAATCTTGAAGAGCTAGTGTGTGTTAAAACTTTTGAATTTTGTTCAGCATCTTATGAGTCGGTCTTTGTTAACTATTGTGAATACAGTCTCAAGATTTCGGATATGTGACAAAAGCGAAGCACTATATGTTTATAATTGTTTTCACAATCTATGGTATTGGTGTGTGGCCCTACCCACAACATCCTATTACTTCCTCCTCTTAGTTTTAGTCTAGCAGTGACATTTTGTTACAGGTCGTGTTGCTTCATATTTTTTACTTTTACATTCATGTACAATTGCCTTTATCTTGAATCATATTTGAGCTCGTGCTAATTTTTTAAAGTCATCTGGCATTTGTTTTCCAATAAAATTTTAAGGTTTTGTTTATCAACCACTAAAGTGTTCTCAGCATTCACTTTACATTCATATTTTTTTTAGTCAAACCAACATATCTCACATGACATCAAGGAGAGCAAACTGTTTAATCTGTAAGGTTTACAGGCCCAATTTTATTATTTTAACATTCTCTATTGTACTGTATTACCACATGTGAATCATTAGTCTATCACGTGCTGCTTTCCCTAATGTTGCTGAGAACCTTTTCCGTATGAAAAGTGCTTCCTGCCTCGCCTCTGATAGTGGGCGAGAGTTACAAACGTTGCGTAAGGCATCGTGCCTTGATATGTTCTAAGCTTTTTAGATCTGGGGGGCTGGGATTCTCCCCCCACCCCCACCGTTGGCAGAGTCAGTGTCTCAACGCATCCTTTGTAAGTGACGTCACACGATAAAGTGTTTGTTTACTTCTTCGTTTCGGGATCTGATCTCCGCGTGTTCTCCAGTTTCATATTGGAATGATGTTATATAGGGTGTTGGGTTTAATATCACTTGTTTCAAATCACAGCAATGTTCGAACCTTGTACAACATTCACATATCGTTTGGCGTGAACTGTGCTCTAGCGCAGCAACATAGAAAATATAAATTATATTTTAATATGAACATTTATGCTGAGAATTATGCGTATATACTATGATATGCAATAAAAATTTGACATTCATATTGACATAATATATGTATAGAAAGGGCTAAACTATTGTGTTTATGGGCCACACCAGCACTAGTGCCAGATGTGTCCTTGGAGTTCCCGTGTTTGGAAACTCCACAGTGTTGCGGTTACACAAACAGACAGAAAATGGTGTACTAAAACACTCGAAACTAACTTAATCTAACTTAATCGAACGACCCACGCATAGAAAACGTGAATGTTTGTGAGTCGCTATAATTTCATAGTACGTCAGTTATAGTCCGTTGGGGATTTTGACGTCAAAATGCGATGTTTTATTGAAGACGACAGACTGTTCAAACAACTATGCCTCGTGGCCGGGCACCGGACTCCTCATAGAACTAACTGGAAGACAACACAGTATGAACACTTTGTTCTTGGGTAGTAATTTTTATTGTCAGATGCATATGCCTCCAAAGTATAGAAAATGGCTATAATTCCCCGTAAACTTTGCTTTGATCTTTGCCTCAGACTGTTAGACAGTTTTCCGTCTTCAAGACGGGAAGACGTCTTGAAGGTACCTGAAGACAAATGTCGAAGTAAAATTTGTGTGTGGGGGGGGGGAATGATACCCATTTTCTATACTTTGGAGGCACAAACAATCAACACTACTACCCAGGAAAAATAATAAATACAAAATTGTTGCACAGTGCAGTCGACACGGGTTCCTCAGACTTTAGAGGCGTCAGGCGTCCTGTGAACTTTGGGTTTTGGTTTGAGTGTTTTCAGCACCGCCAACTAGTTTATTGTGCACACCACACTCATCCTTTGAGCGGTAGCTCCGAAAGATTAGAGGGCATAAATCACAATCAGAACTCTTTATAATGTAACATGTCACAACCTAATTGGGCAATATCTAAAAAATTCGGTAACGTCCTTCGGTGACCTCCGGCTGAGCGAGAGCCAGACGCCCTTCGGTGACCTCAGGCGGAGCGAGAGCCAGACGCCCAGACGCAAGCACACAAGGAGACGTCCTTCGGTGACCTCTGGCGGAGCGAGAGCCAGACGCCCACCAAGCACACAACAGGAGACGTCCTTCGGTGACCTCTGGCGGAGCGAGAGCCAGACGCCCACCAAGCACACAACAGGAGACGTCCTTCGGTGACCTCTGGCGGAGCGAGAGCCAGACGCCCACCAAGCACACAACAGGAGACGTCCTTCGGTGACCTCAGGCGGAGCGAGAGCCAGACGCCCACCAAGCACACAACAGGAGACGTCCTTCGGTGACCTCTGGCGGAGCGAGAGCCAGACGCCCACCAAGCAAACAACAAGAGCTCACAAAGATGCACCAACCCCGACACCTCCCGATCAAGCCAACGTTGGACAAACTCCGCTCTGAGATCAAAGTGGAGAACTTGATAAAAGCTCTAGCCTTCACTGTGACTTCATATGATAATTGCGCCATGTTTAGTATCAGTCTGGGCCGTTGCAGATATGGACCCAGTGATCAAAACAGCAACACGTTTTCATGCTACCTGAGTTTTCATGAGCAGATTTAACTAGGAGTCAGTGGAATTCGTAGACTAAACATATAATTTATAGCAGACAGGTCTAAAATAGTATTAGGAAGTCTTTTGTTTACAAAATTTGCCGTTAGTTTTCAAACTGCAAAAAACTTTTACATTAACAAATATCTGCAGAGGGTACACTGCGCGCTACCAGGCTGGTGCAGCGTCCCGTTGCTGTTGCTGTTGCTGCTCCAAATGACTGCTGCTCAGAGTAAGTATACTTTATCATTGTTACTAGTCCTGCTGCTCCAGCTGACTGCTGCTCAAAATAAGTATAATTCCTCACAGCTTTCACTCTTATTCTGCGACGGTGGTGCCAGGATTCTATCAAAGGGATGAAGGATATTCTAGTTAACCGTATATTCACCGAATCACTTGTCTTGCGGCTCGCATTATTACACCAACAAACACAAGTTCTCTCTTGAAGTTGGGAGTTGTTATTAACAGTAGCCTTCCTAGCACGACTCTAGCATCCCAAGATGTCTTACAAGCCTAACCCTCTTATCTGGGGTACATCTAAGATAATAACCGGGTGAAGGTATTGTGAGCTCTTGTAGACCATAGAGTACGTTATATTTTATATTCAATAATTAATTCCTTTTCACCCTCGAACGCACTTCCGCTCCCCCCATCCCACCTCGCAACTCCCTAGCTACTTTGTTATCTTGTTGCTGAAAAAAAATAATATGTAAGTGGACCTTGTTGAGTTGCCCACACGGAGTCAGGGCCGCCACCTCTACAGCAGCTGCCGTGTGGTGCTTTCCGTCATTTCCCGGTTTTTATTATTAAAAGTCTTTAGAAATATCGTCAGTTATGAGGCTATTAAAAAACTATATGAAGTTTGCACAGCTCTTAAGTAGGGAAATAAAGATCCCCATAAAGCAAGATAGTTTTCTAGACATATCATTTGTTAACTAGCACGCAATAAGCTATCAAGATAACATCAAGGGCAAAAATTAAAAAAAAAAGTAATCCATAATAGTGAGACTCGGTACCTTTTCACAGAATTTACCATTACTGCTCAAGATTGGGAGGATCGTTACCCTCAACCACCTGCTAGAGGTATCGATAATTCAATCTAATTCTGGCTATCACAATGTTTGCTGGATGTTTTATGGTGTCCATATACGTGGGTGTCAGTGATTTCGCTCATAAAACTTTATTATTTGTGAGCAGTATGTTTTGAAAATGGATGTCTAGTCTTCAGATACGTCTATACATAAGTTTAATTAAATATGATATTTGTTTTAGGCTGATTTAGCTGCTTTGTAATATGATTAGGTTTTTATGAATTGGTATCCATACGAAAGATTCTGAAACCTTTATTCAGTGCCGTAAGCGTGTTATCTATTTGTCAGGGAGATTCTTCTTGTCTTGCATGTAAAGGATTCCATTGTTTGAAGAAAAGACTTAATCACAGAAAATTATTCCTCTTCCTGTGTTTGTGTATAGGTAGCTAGTTATATTGCAGCCAGTTCTGTGTAGAGATGAGCTAGTTGCCAACGAGGCATTCTGTTGACGGTTGGGCGCAGCAGTCGGTACACAATGCTCCTGTTGCCACAGGTTATCAGAGGAGGCAGTTCTTTTTGTGTTACTTTGATAAGTTCTGGAAGCTGCCGTTTTGGGTTTCCCATGATAATGGTTTAGAAATTTAATACGTTACGTCATTGCTGGAAATGTGCAGCTCTCGATACTATCACATTGACCCCTGACCATTGATTTTTGTTTGTGTATATATATATATATATATATATATATATATATATATATATATATATATATATATATATATATATATATATATATATATATATATATATATATATATAATATATATATATATATATATATATATATATATATATATATATATATATGTCGTACCTAGTAGCCAGAATGCACTTCTCAGCCTACTATGCAAGGCCCAATTTGCCTAATAAGCCAAGTTTTCCTGAATTAATATGTTTTCTCTAATTTTTTTCTTATGAAATGATAAAGCTACCCATTTCATTATGTATGAGGTCAATTTTATTTTATTGGAAGTAAAATTAACGTAGATATATGGCCGAACCTAACCAACCCTACCTAACCTAACCTAACCTATCTTTATAGATTAGGTTAGGTTAGGTAGCCGAAAAAGTTAGGTTAGGTTAGGTTAGGTAGGTTAGGTAGTCGAAAAAAGTGTGTTCTGGCTACTTAATATCATGAAAACTTGGCTTATTAGGCAAATCGGGCCTTGCATAGTAGGCTGAGAAGTGAGGTGTTCTGGCTACTAGGTACGACATATATATATATATATATATATATATATATATATATATATATATATATATATATATATATATATATAGAAAGAGATATATACTGGGTTTTTTGGATTACACCTGTAAAATAGTCTAATAGGGGGTATAGGTGTTGTGTTAGTTGTCTCTTCAGAGGTTGCATGGCTTTTCACTTTCCTTCTTATGATGTCTTCGATGAAACCATTGGAGAAGCCGTTATTGACTAGGACCTGCCTTACCCTACAGAGTTCTTCGTCGACTTGCTTCCATTCTGAGCTGTGGCTGAGAGCACGGTCGACGTATGCGTTAACAACACCCCTCATGTACCTGTCAGGGCAGTCGCTGTTGGCATTTAGGCACATTCCTATGTTTGTTTCCTTAGTGTAGACTGCAGTATGGAAACCTCCGCCCTTTTCCATGACTGTTACATCTAGAAAAGGCAGCTTCCCATCCTTTTCCGTCTCGTAAGTGAAACGCAGCACGGAACTCTGCTCAAATGCCTCCTTCAGCTCCTGCAGATGTCTGACATCAGGTACCTGTGTAAAAATGTCGTCAACATACCTGCAGTATATGGCCGGTTTCAAGTTCATGTCGACTAAGACTTTTTGCTCGATGGTACCCATTTAGAAGTTTGCAAACAGGACACCTAGGGGAGAACCCATGGCGACCCCATCTACTTGCTTATACATGTGCCCATCCGGGCTCAAGAAGGGTGCCTCTTTAGTACAAGCTTGGAGTAGTTTCCTCAGAATACTTTCTGGCATGTCAAGAGGAGTACAGGCTGGATCACGATACACTCTGTCGGCTATCATTCCGATTGTCTCGTCCACAGGTACGTTGGTAAACAGCGATTCTACGTCCAACGAGGCTCTTATCCCTGTGGCCCGTGTGCCCCGCAGTAAGTCCACAAATTCCTTTGGAGACTTCAGGCTGAAGGCGCAAGGAACATAAGGAGTCAGCAGGCCGTTGAGTCGCTTCGCCAGTCTGTACGTGGGTGTGGGTATCTGGCTAATGATTGGCCGAAGTGGGTTTCCGGGCTTGTGCGTCTTGACATTTCCATACGCATATCCAGGTTTATATTCCCCAATGATCTTTGGCAGGTGGAGTCCGGATTTCTTGGCGTTCACAGTTTCGATCAGTTTGTTGACCTTTGCTTTTAATTCGGCTGTAGTGTCCTTCGTTACCCTTTGGAACTTAGTTTGGTCAGAGAGTATGATGTTCATTTTCGCCAGATATTCGTCTTTTTTAAGAATGACATATATTGGCGACTTGTCACCTCTCCTGACAACTATCTCCTTGTTCTCACGAAGGCTTTTAGCTGCCGCTTTAAGCTCGGGGGACAGTATGGTGCTTCTGTAGTTGCCTCGATTCTTTCCTCCTTCTGCAATAAGTTCTGCTTGTAAGGTATCTTTGGTAGTGACCTTCTTTTGTGTCTCGAGGTCGAATATGTCGTCCAACAGAATTTCCAACTCTACTTTCCGGGCCATTTCACTCGGTCTGGACATAACATGACAGTTTATGCCCAGATTTAGGAGAGTGACTTGGTCCTCAGTGAGGTTAATTCCTGCAAGGTTCAGGAAGCCATCTCTTGGTCGTGGAATTGCCATAGGTCCTCCATATAATGTTGTTAGTTTCTTGATAATCCGGACTCCCAGGTGCAACGCAACTGGTATGTACAAGACGCCTTAATCCACTTGACCATCACGACCGGACAAAATGAGGTGATAGCCGAGGCTATTTGAACCACCCCACCGCCGGCACTCGGATAGTAATCTTGGGTAAATTACTTGGATAGTAATGCTATGCCCAAGATTACTATCCGAGTGCCGGCGGTGGGGTGGTTCAAATAGCCTCGGCTATCACCTCATTTTGTCCGGTCGTGATGGTCAAGTGGATTAAGGCGTCTTGTACATACCAGTTGCGTTGCACCTGGGAGTATGGGTTCGAGTCACTTCTGGGGTGTGAGTTTTCAGTTGCATATTGTCCTGGGGACCATTCAGGCTTGTTCGCATTTGTGTTCCTCACGTGTGCCCCAAAGAATGAGGTGATTTGGTAAAATGCTATGCCCAAGATTACTATCCGAGTGCCGGCGGTGGGGTGGTTCAAATAGCCTCGGCTATCACCTCATTTTGTCCGGTCGTGATGGTCAAGTGGATTAAGGCGTCTTGTACATACCAGTTGCGTTGCACCTGGGAGTATGGGTTCGAGTCACTTCTGGGGTGTGAGTTTTCAGTTATATATATATATGTGCCCCATATATATATATATATATATATATATATATATATATATATATATATATATATATATATATATATATATATATATATATATGTCGTACCTAGTAGCCAGAACGCACTTCTCTGCCTACTATGCAAGGCCCGATTTGCCTAATAAGCCAAGTTTTCCTGAATTAATATATTTTCTCTATTTTTTTCTTATGAAATGATAAAGCTACCCATTTCATTATGCATGAGGTCAATTATTTTTTATTGGAGTTAAAATTAACGTAGATATATGACCGAACCTAACCAACCCTACCTAACCTAACCTATCTTTATAAGTTAGGTTAGGTTAGGTAGCCGAAAAAGTTAGGTTAGGTTAGGTAGTCGAAAAACAATTAATTCATGAAAACTTGGCGTATTAGGCAAATCGGGCCTTGCATAGTAGGCCGAGTACGACGTTCTGGCTACTAGGTACGACATATATATATATATATATATATATATATATATATATATATATATATATATATATATATATATATATATATATATATATATATATATATATATATATATATATATATATATATATATATATATATATATATATAATGTCGTACCTAGTAGCCAGAACGCACTCCTCAACCTAATATGCAAGGCCTTATTTGCCTAATAAGCCAAGTTTTCATGAATTAATTGATTTT